AATACAAATATGTACATTACAAATACATATAAAATAATAAAAAATGTAAGGTTTTACACTTTACATATTTATATTTGTACTCCTTCCAAACTGAGCCTCAAGCTGTATTTAGTTGCAATGCAAATAAATTTGCACTAATGCAAAACCATGAAACTGCAAACAATTTAAATATAAATTTTAACCTATTTTTTGTTTCATACTTTAACTTATTTTATTTGATTGCAATATAAATAAAGTAAATTAAAACATCAAACGGAATAAAGTAAAACCCAAAACAGAATTAAATGAGAATTTGCATTTTTTTTTCATTTGCACTCTCATGCATTTATACTAATGCAAATAAAATTACACTGCAACCAAACACAGCCTTATGTCTCATTTACACTCAATGACATTTCAAATTTTTGCATATAAAGACCTTCCTCGGACATTAATTCTCTCTCTATAAAGTGGGGATTCAATTATTCAAATCATTTTGTCTCGTACCTTATACCTCCCAAACAAATAACCTTTCTCTTGCCCCATTGTCTTCATATAAAGTGGAGGCCATATCAAATACAGGCCCAACTTGAGCCAACTAGGGCCCAAGCCCCAATCGAAGTATGTCAAATTTCAGTTTGGCCTGGGTTGAACATAAGCGGCCCAGCCTGCCCAACTTTCACCCATAACAATGACTTTGTCATGGCTCACATAGGAGACTATTATTAAATAGGTTATTGGATACTTATCAAAAAAAAAAGTTATTGGATAGTAAGAAAAAAAAAATCTTTATTTTATAAAGTTTGACTTGATAAATAATGTCAAAAAGGTGCATTAGAAGATGAACGAAAGAGAGAGATGGGGTATATGCAGTACATAGAGACCACAAAACATAATTATCTTTTTGAGGGTGAAGAAGGTTTGAGGAGACTAACCTATATTTTACATGGTTTTTGTTGACTTCGAGAATTTTTGGGACACAAATGGGTCTCCTTACAGCTTTACAGTTTCACTTTTGAAATGAACCTGGAGCCCATGGCTATAAATCCTATGGCATTTGAAGGGTCCATTGGAAACCTATTTCTAAGTGAAATTCAAATTTGAATTCAATTTTAAATAATTAAATTAAAAGCAAAAGCCTTTAATAGATTATGGAAATAAATCCAACCAAGACACATGTTAGTTTTCATAAATTCAACTAAGGGCACATGTTTTTGCCAACAACACATTTAAGACTAAATCAAAAGGGATTGTCTTACAAGGGTGCCCCAAAAGATATAAATTAATCATATTTTAAAATAAGAATTAAGTAAGGTTCAAAATATCGTTACGTATTGACCCGTATTGATTGATATGTATTGTATTGGGGCCTTCCTGATACACACCTACAGGGAATGTATCGGGTCAAGCCATGGTTCAGAGGGTAACTGAGACTTAACCAACCCTTCCGAACTAGTTTTGAAAAAAATAAATAAAATACAAAAAAACACACCGATACACCGGTATCAGCCTGCATCAATATTTAGAACCATGGAACTAACACATGATTATTCATATCTTTCATCAAATTATGATTTATTTGTATCTTTAAAACTTTGTACATTTTAAAAGAAGGATGTGCCAAAATTTACCCCTTAGGTTGTGTTTGGTTGCAATGCAGTTGAACCAAATATAAATTTTGCACTTGGTTCGGGTTTACGTTTATAACTATGGTTTGCATTTCTAGTTGGTATCAGATCACCACCCTCAACAAACAAGAGGAAGGCCCAGGTCCGAGTCAAGTTATCAGACTCGGACCGGACTGAAAACTGGAATGATCACTAGTAGGTCATACTTGTCTGGTTCACATTGTGTAAATTAGGGGTACCCACGGTTCAGTCGTGGGGCTTTTTTGAACCGAGCTAGTACTACCAGTTTTTAGAAAATTGGTAATCGAAACCAAACCAAGGCTAGTTGGTTAACTGATTGACTAGTTCAATTAATCATCGGTTCGGTTTGTCGGTTTTTCAGTTTTTTATTTTTACAATATATATTATAGAAATATATAAATATATATAAAAACTTATAAATATACATATAGAATATTATGTTTTAAATAATATATCATATATTACAAATATATATTTATATACAATACATATTTATTAATTTATAATATATAAAATATATATAATATACATAAATATATATATATAACATGTAGAAATATATGTATACCAATCGGTTCGGTTAACCGCCGATTTTCTATATTGGTTAACCGAAACCGAACCAGTACCTTCGATTTTTAAAAAACACCGAGCTGACCAGTTCGGTTAACCGATTTTTCGGTTCAGTTTTTTGGCTTTTGCTCACCCCTAGTGTAAATCATCAATTAAATGGGTCCAACAAAGTTAGGGTTACCCCAAAAACCTGTTCAACCATCCAATCCAATCCAAGTCTGACAACACTAGCCTAAGTTAGGACCCTCCACATTGGAATTGGGGTTTATTCCTCACAAAGAGCTCCTCACACCATCATTGACTTCACAGCCATATCCCACCATGTATTGGGAACATCTTCCCATAAATAATAAATACCAATAGGGAAGATGTTCCCGCTTCCTAACATGCGGCCAAGACATGCTGTGAGGCCGGTGTAAGGTGCGCTCTGTGAGGAATAGATCCGGACTCTCCACATTGATGAAAGCTTTGAATTGGAAAGTTGAAGAATTCCTCAAATATTGCTTGATGATGGCCTTTCCATATGGTCCATACCTAACATGAATATTCTCATTGTTTTCATTATATCACATGGGTTCATTAGGAACTTATTAGGACTATAATTAAGAGAATGGTCGTTTATTAAAACACCCCTATAATTTGCAATTAATTACTTAATCAACCTTTTGTTAAGAATCCTTTATATTGCTGTTTAGAAATGATAACACGACCATAAACTGAGTGGAAAATGTAAGGGAAGGGCACGAGACCATACTTTTTTATTTCAATAGTACCCTTAGCACTTCATATTAAGCTTATAGAAAAAAAGTAAAATTGATTTTCAGATCTACCAAACAATGTTTGGTTTCAGCATAATGAAGAAGAAAAGAGAACAATGGCATCTAGGGTAGGGGTGAGCATTATTCGGTTAAAACCGAATAATCGAATTGAAAATTTCAGTTTTAGTTTTTTTGGCCTGGCTTTTTCGGTTTTTGGTTAAATCGGTTCAATTTTTCGGTTTTTGGCTATTTCTGTTTTTGAAATTAGAATTTCGGTTAACCGAACTTTTTATTATTATATGTAATATATAATATTTTATATATTATATATTATATTAATATATAATATACTGAAAATTGATTTCATAATATATATTTTATAATATATATAATAGAGTATATATTATTAAAATTTGGTTGTAACCAAAATAACCGAAAACCAAACCAAAAATTTCGGTTTTGGTTTTTCTAAATTTCAATTTTGGTTTGGTTTTTATTTTTTCAATTTGATTTTTAAAATTTTGATTTATTCAGTTCGGTTTTTAACTGAATAAACTGAATGCTCACCCCTAATCCAGGGTTCTTCATTTGCAATGGCACATCTTCCTTCTTTGAACAGAACAAAATTGAGCGAACAAAGTTATTACCCTTTTTACTAGGGGCAAGAATGACATTTCCTTTTTATTTTTTGTGTCAAAACTATCATTTTTCACTTTTATCTAACTAATGATTGATTAAGTAAATAAGTTACAAACTATAAAGTGTATTTTAGTAAAACACAAAGTATAGAGTAGGTTTTAGTAAATCCATAAAACTGCAGGAGTGTTTTAGCAAATGACCCCTCTGATAAGGAGTAAAACCAACATTAAACTATTGCAAAGAATTCAAATATCTAAGCCTATCTTTACATATTACATTAGCAAACTGTACTGTAGGCTGTGTTTGGTTGCAGTGCAAATTTATTTGCACTAGTACAAATTCATGGGAGTGCAAATGTAAAAAAATGCAATTTTTTATTTAATTTTGTTTTGGGTTTTACTTTATTCTGCTTTATGTCTTAATTTACTTTATTTGTATTACAATCAAACAAAAATATATCAGAATTTACACTCAAATCATTTGTACAGCCATAATTTTGCTTCAGTGCAAATTTATTTGCATTGCAACCAAACACAGCCCTAGTATTTGCACTGAAACCATGTTTAGCAAATTCGTTTATGATTCATTTATTGACCTTCTTTTCTGAAGGAAACCTTCAGAATTGCATATTCTAAAAGAAAGAAAGAAAAACTGAATAGTTTAGAAAAAACAAGCAATTCATGACCTTCATGAATTATATGGATTTTTTGAAATATGGATAAAATTTTGAAAATATATTCACGTTTTTCTTGTCTGTATATATTCAAAATATTATACACGTATTTACATTTAAAATATCATGAATTATTTACTTCGAAGTCCAAACTTCTTTAAACATTTATGTCATTCGACTAAACTTGCCTTTAAAATTTTGTTACCAAAAAAAAACTAGCCTTTAAGATTTGCTAAAAAATGAATGTTTAGTTAATTATTAATCAAAACATTTATTATATAACTTAGCCTGGAAACTTAATGATATTGATTATTAGTTAATTAAAATTTTTGGCAACCCTATCCATTGACACCATCGCCTACTGCCAAGTGGCATGGATCTGCTGGCTGAAAATTTGCCAGGTGGACAATTACATGAACATGTTTTATTATTTATCCTTTATAAATACCAAAACTTAAAGTTCTGTTGCCGGCTCACCAATCCGTAGATTTAGAATTTCAGCCGTTGATGGAGGGCAGATTAGTCATTTGGGTAAAAGTAAAAATAAAGTGATGGGTAGCAAACAAATTCTGCGCACGCTAATTGATGCCTTTGGCTTAACAAATGACCCATAAATCCAAAATTCCAAAAAATCATTTTTCCGACCGTTGGACCCCCAAAATGACCGTTGAGGATTCGTGCTCTTTCTTTTTGGACACACTTACCGTTACAAATTCAAAAAAGACTCTGCCTTTGTCGCATCCCTTGAAGAGTAATAATCTTTAGAGGATGAACCCAAAAAACTGAAACCCGCACCTTCGAACATCGAGTGATGGGTTGCGTTTCATCGAAACTGATCAGGAAGGAACTTAACCAGGAACTCCTGTTCGGCAATGGCGATTACGTGAACCACGTCGTCTCCCTCACTTCCAGCACTTATGGGGTTCTGAAACTGGATGAAGAAACAATAAAGGAACCAGACAAAGAAGTGAAGAGTTCTCCTCGTATCGTTCTTCCCAGGTTTCAGAAGAAGGGCTCCGAAGAACCTGAGGTCATCAACGCTTGGGAGTTGATGAAAGATCTCGAAGACGAAATACCCGTTTCAGTACAAGTGAAGAAAAGCCCCAAACCACAAGGCTTTCTACGAAAAGTTGCAGGGATGGATATCAAGACTCCTTCGAAGTTCTTCAGTGAGCTAAGCTCTCCAAGGAAGCAGAAGAAATTCGCAGGGAAGGAGAACAAGCACCGACGGAGCGGATCCGATGGCGGCGTAGCAAGGTCAGAGCCCAGCCCGAAACAGGTACTGCAACCTTTGAACTCAGTAGACAATGTGCAAAAGCGGATAGTCTCTTTGAACATACCCACAAAGAACACTCCCACCAATCTGAAAGCAAATAGTTTTAGAAACCATTCAGGATTATCGATGTCAAGGAGGAGTCTCAGTCCCTTGTTTGATCCAGAGCTTGTTGTATCCTTCGAAAAAGAACTCTGTGAAGAGGGAGAACAGATTAAGAAGATGGTTTCTTCTCAACCAAAAACTTGTAAGACCAGAGATGCTGAATCCATGCTTGAATTGTTTGAGAAAAAGTGCCCTCCTGGTGGGGAAAATGCAGTGGTCATCTACACAACTACGTTGAGGGGGATTAGGAAAACCTTTGAAGACTGCAATGTTGTTCGGTCAGTAATAGAATCTCATCGCGTCCACATGATTGAGCGGGATATTTCGATGGATTCTGGGTTTAGGGAGGAATTGAGGAGGTTAATGGGGACCAAGGATGTAAGAGTACCTGTGGTGTTTGTGAAGGGAAGGTTGATTGGGGGAGCTGAAGAGATGGTTAAGATGGAAGAGGAGGGAAAGTTGAGCATTCTATTCAATGGTATCCCAAGAGCCATGGCTGGGTGTGAAGGGTGTGGTGGGGTGAGGTTTGTACTGTGTATGGATTGCAGTGGGAGTTGTAAGGTTTTGGATGAAGAACAGAAGAAGATGGTGAGATGTGGAGAATGTAATGAGAATGGGTTGATCCAGTGTCCCATCTGTTGCTAATCCGATATTGCTGAGTATCTTATTTTGCCCAAACCCACCAAGGAATCAGAAAGCTATCTGAGATTGTTTAGATATATGTTTGTTGAAGCTGGGTTTTGGGCATCTGTTTCTTATAGTTCATGTAGATGGAAGGTGTTTTGCAGTTCTGGGATGAGCTTAAAAGGTGCTCAGTTTGAATATTTTTTTCAGTAGGAAGGAGAGGCTCTAAAGTGGGTTTTGGGTCCTCTTTGTACTTTATTTTGAGTCTAATACCTTGTATGTTTGAATACCTAAATCATTTATGCAATTCAATTATTTTTTCCCCTTTTGATGATTCAACCAGATTATCTTTACCATAGAGAAGGTAGAACTGCCCCATTTAATCATTTATCTGATGGTTGATCATGTTCTTAGGGTTCATACAAGAGCGGTGGGTCACTTGGTGGCTGTTAGATCAATAATGGACTTGTAGAAAGTCTGGAGTTGGATTTCTTGCATCAAATGGTCTAGATTGGACAAATTGATGAAAAAAATGAAATTTGTGTATCAGATGATCAGAACTCTTATGATATGTAGCATCTTTAGGCTGGACTTGTGCAGCAAACAAAAGGGTTTTTGATGAATGATACGATAATGTTCCCAGTATCTATAAAAAAAAATGACCAAACCATGCTCTGTCAAGGAACACAAAAGGTCCTCAGTTATGCAAGAAATTGTTTATGAACCTGCACCTGCTACATTTGACCTTAATTTTGATGATAACTAGACTACATTAGATCTCTAATTCCACTAATTCTGAAATATTTCGAATGCCTAATCTAGGCAAGTTCTCTTGTTATTTGACATAGATGTAACAAGTACCTCCAGACATCCTCAAGTAAACYTGTTCATGTYTGTGGTAGGACRGCCAAGATTTGTGGACATAGATATGCAGCTTTTAGATACCAGAACCCTAATTTTGATGATAACTAGAACATTAGATCTCTAATTCCACTAATTCTGAAATATTTCGAATGCCTAATCTAGGCAAGTTCTCTTGTTATTTGACATAGATGTAACAAGTACCTCCAGACATCCTCAAGTAAACTTGTTCATGTTTGTGGTAGGACAGCCAAGATTTGTGGACATAGATATGCAGCTTTTAGATACCAGAACCCTAATTTTGATGATAACTAGAACATTAGATCTCTAATTCCACTAATTCTGAAATATTTCGAATGCCTAATCTAGGCAAGTTCTCTTGTTATTTGACATAGATGTAACAAGTACCTCCAGACATCCTCAAGTAAACCTGTTCATGTCTGTGGTAGGACGGCCAAGATTTGTGGACATAGATATGCAGCTTTTAGGAAATGCCATTCTGTCATAAACAGGCAAGAGAGTTTGATATCAATATGTTTCTTGGCTTTGTATTTTTAGCATAAACAGGCAAGGATCTTGCTACTGAGATTCAATGGTTGCTTATGCAACTTAGACCAGTAAGCTTCTTAAAGTATGAATCAAATCAATCGACAAACGTTCTATTCATTCAGAAATTCTAAATATCAGAACTCAGAAATAAAGCATACTTTCTTTTGGTAAAATAGTGTCAATGACATTTATTTGGTTGTCTAAAGTATACATGCATACTTCAATTCTGTTACAATTTCCCAACATTTATATCTTATTTATGGTACATTTGAGTCTCAAATATAATGTTTATGATGTATATAAGGGATTATGGCTTATGAGTGCCTCTAATATAGACCATTTTTCCATATCCAGGCATGTTCAGTGAATCACAACTGAACCTTGCTTCTAGCATTGGACTGATTTTAATTCTAGACTCAGCTTTGCAAGCAAATGGCACACTCCTAATCATAAGACAAGTACACGTTTCAAAAGATAAAAACAACCTTGTAATTTTATCATTAGTTCATTACAAACAGACAATCCCCCCCTCCCTCTCTGCTGGTGAATTTTGATGAATCCAGCTAATTGGTTACCACTATGTTGATTATCACTTTTCAGGTTTGATTCCTTTCCAGATGATTAAAAATGTAATGTTCCTAACCAAAATCAGCTACAATGGCAATACCACTTGTGTATTCCTTTTTGCATTCAAGTGGGATGGGAGTTGGATATCCAATTTGAAGAATTTACACAGTTTTAGCCCAAGTGTCCGAGCCATGTCTATTTCAAACTTTAACAAATTCTCAATCGAAACCCACTCAAGCACAGCTCAAATTATCAATACGGGCCGATACACCGGTACTGTAATCATGGAGGATGATATGATGATATGGGGATGCTTTGGATACTCTCGCTCAGTTTGGTACAAGGTTCAAAGTATATCAATGCAGGCCAATATGCTGGTACTGTATCGGTGCTTTTTTCTCTCTTCTTTTATTTTTTCGAATCTGGTTCAAAGGGAGTTTAAGGCTGGTCTATCCCCTCAACCACTGTCTAACCCGAAACACCCCCTGTAGGGGCATATCAGGAAGCTCCTGATATGTATCAATACTTTTGAACCTTGGTTTGGTAAGAGTACAAACACAAATATTACAAATGCATATAAAATATTACAAAATACAAGGTTTTGCACTGTACATTTTGTATTTGTACTTCTTCTAAACTAAACCTCTGGAAAAATTAAGATGCATAAATATGCATGGATATGTTACGAAAACTCTCTCCAACAAAAATATTAAAAAATTAATCAAATAAATCTCCAACAAAAACAAATAAGATATATATACACATATAAAAGGAGATACCTAATTATTTATGTGAAGTGTGAACTATTGGGGCACGCGCTTCAATGAGGCTTTTGTAAAACAAAGATTATTGATGCAAAATATGTCTCGTTACTTCATTTTTATATATCTAGGGTATCAATAGTTTGCACCATTTTCTTTTCACATGAAGGTGGATTTGTTTAATTATGATAGTAACTGGTATTGTGATGTTTCAAAGTGTTTCAGTTTGAATTGTGGTTCAAGCTCATAAAGAAGAGAGAAAGACGTTTTGGCACAAAACACCCAGTTCAATATTTCATTGTTCTTTCAAAAGCCTAGGCTGCTAGGCACCAAATAGAACAAAGTTGGTTATTTTGGCATTCTTCTTTTAGGGTTAAATAATTAAACTAACCCTATGGTTTTGACAAATCACAAATACTTAAAAGGCCTTGTGGTTTCTGATTGTCAGGTCATTAAAAATTGGAAAAGATCATTTTACCCTTTCAAGAGATCACCCCTGAATAACTAAGGGTCGTCCATTTGATTTTCAGTTCAGCAATTTGATACCTATTCCCCCATCTCTTCAGAATGAAAACCTCATTCCAATTGATTCGGATTCGATTCTAATTCCCATCCGAACCGAACTGACGGAGGAATAATTGAATAAACCATTCCGTTTCCGAGTCCAATTGCAATTGAGGAGTTTAACTGACCATAAATGGCTCAACTGATGGACTCGGGACTGGTTTGGTAAGCTGGTGGAAGCTGGAGCTGGAGAAAGTATGGAGTGAGATTATAGAGCAAAGAGAGAGAGAAGATGGTGCCCTCCAGCTATTCTCGTTTGATTCAAATAATCAAATATTCTCTTCCCGCTTTCTTCTTCCGCTTTGGATTTGTTTTTCTTTTTTTTTTTTTCTTTTCCTGGACTAAATGAAAATGACTAATTGATTGTTTTTGTTTTGATCGATTTGGACAATTGGGTTATCATTTATTTTGATTGTAATTGAGTTCTGACGTTTTTCTCTCTGTACGCGTGTATTTTTATCTTCGTTTGGTCTTTTCTTCCCCTCTGTTCGGGAGATTTCGCTAGTATGGAAATTTGTTTTTCTTTTAATTTTCCATTGTTTGATAACTTCTTAGTTTTCTCTATTTCCAAAATTGCATTTTTAAAATATTAAAACAAAGGAACGCGATGCCACATTCAAACGGAATTTGAATGTGATGGACCACTAAGTACTTTCACGTATTTAATTAAACCCTTCTATTTCATCATTAATGTCATTTTGGCGTTTCCTCGACACCTATAAAGTAGAATGTGATTCTCCGGTTTCAAATTGAATCTGCTCTACCAAAGCTGAATTACCTATTGAGGCTCTGCACAATAAAGCGCGTTTCAACCTGAAATAGGAATGATACCAACAAGCTTTATACCACGTTAGATGGACATGCATAAATGAAATTATAAACGAATCTAATACCCAAAAAGAAAGGTAAAAGACTTAAACTTCCCTTCAGGTTTGTCATAAATATTTATACTTGTACGGTTATATCTCCCCTTCTAATTTTTAATAAGACTTAAACCTCCCCCTAACTAAATAAGATGCCATTATATTTGATATAATTGATAAAAAGATACTTTTATCCTTTATTATCTTTCAAATTTTCAAAGAGCCTTCATCATTTTGAAACAAGAATTACCATTGTAACTTGGCTCGACCTTTGTACAATCATTTCAAGGGCTGCTCGCAAGAGTTGATCTCATAAACATTTTTAGGGTAATTTGATGTGAAATCTAGTTATGCCTATGCCTCCTTCAGCAGTAAATGGGAGGTTGCTAAAGAATGAAAGTTTTAGATTTTTCTTATGAAACTATTCAAAAGACTAAACCTGGACTACCTGGGCTAGAATAGTAATGGGAAAGAAACGGTGACGGTCACAAATTCATATGGCCCATCGGTGTCCATGGGCTAGAATATTGATAGTCTAAACCCTGAAATCTTAACTTCAAAGTCAATTATTGGAGCAGGAGAAATCTCATCTAGTCTGTAGAACAGCCACAAATTAAGGCACTAGGTACATGAACTTGCGCCTGTAAAATTTTAATTGAACATTTATCCAAAAAAAGGATTCTCATTCTCCATGAACCACGACTTTTCTTAATAGGTGCTCTCTCTCTCTCTCTCTCTTCCAGCCTTCTTTTACTTCATCTCCATTCTTTTTTGTTTTTTTTTTCCTTCTTAGAATCCCAAACCTATGAATCCGGTAGAGGGTTTTGAAAAAATTTAATAGCACATGAAACCAATTCTTAACAAATAGCTAATAACTACGGAGGTATTTGTCCTATGACGTCACTCAACAAGGGAGGTGTTAGTCTATTTTGAAAATAAAGGGGAGGTGTTAGTATTTAGCATAAACCCTTGAGGGAGATTTAAGTCTTACCCAAAAAAGAAGAAATTATAAACTAATCTCAAATCATAATTTGGAGGGTAGGACGGGACACCCTAGCCTCCCAATTTGTGGGAATGACCCACTAAATGAGATCACTGTTTTGTGATCCGTTAGATGAGATCAATGTTTTAAAAAATGACATGAAGGCTGAACTGTTTTTTGCCTCCGGGTTACAAACAACCGGTTCGCATTGTTTCGAAAGACTAAACCTTGAGGCGTGTGATATATGCTTATTTTGTCTCAAAACTTTAAGGCTCACAACTCTAAAGCCTTTTTAATGTAAAACTATAATATATATATAGAATAGTAAAATGTAAAACCAACAGGTAAATCAAGTTAAATTAGTTTTCTTTTAATGTTTTAGAAGAATTTAATGCAAAAAAAAAGCCAATCAAGTTCTCATTTTTTCATATAAACCAAGTAAGATTATTTTTTCTTTATTATTCTAAACCAAGCATTCCAAGTTTGTCATTTTTCTCATTTCTTTTCTTAATGGATTTATTTTCTACTTAATGATTTTTTTCATAATCAACTAATTTGTTTGGATGACCATAAATCTAACATCAATTATGCAAATGATTCTTCATATGTTAAAATTATTCTAAATAGTAATCCTGAATAATTTAAGAACTTTGAATTTTGAAACATGAAAATATAAAATGATTATAATTCTAAGTTGATTAATTATTATTATTTTATTTAATGTTTAAAATTTAAAAATTACGAACTTACATGGATATTTGTACATTCCATCATTAAAGATTGATATATCATATATTATATTTATCATTGTTAAACTTTAATTATCCTTTCTTAATTTTTGAGGCTTATGCCTCACCATGCCTTGGGGCTTACGACATATCAACATATGTACAAGTATTTAATAATAACATAGTCGTTCTAGATGACACAAATCAAAACATATCAACATATAATAAAATACATAATTGTACAAGTATTTTATTTTCATTTTAGGTCAAGAAAAGGTTTTTTACAAAAATGTAATAGGCAGGGCACCTAGATCTCAAAATGTGATCTCAAATCAATATAAAGATCACCCCAATGAGCACAAAATTATGACCTTAATTTAAAATTTTAATGTGCACCGAGGACCCAGTGACGGTCAAATAATTTTTTACCAAGTTGATGGTTTTTTTACCAAACGAGCTTTAGGAAATTAGGACCTGAAATCATAGTAAGGTGACTGAACATTTCAACCATGGCAGTCAACAGCGGATTGAAAACATTGGTTGAAATGATCACCGGGTGTCCCTCCAAATATAAGGCAAGGGAGCAAACTCCCATAACTTAAGGCTCTTTGTGCTAACAGTGGATCTCACGTTAAGACAGCTGCACCAAAAGAGAAAAATGCCACCCCTCCCCACCCCCCAAGTTAGCAGTTTCAGATTTTCGGCAGACAGGTGCATTGAATTAACCAAGATGAGGCAGAAAGAAGAATCGTCATCGAGAAGCCTGTGACAATGAAACAGATTATCTTGACATGCAAGACCACAATGGCTTCCATTGTTGAGCTAGCCAAAATATTGTTACAATCAAGTCATTTCTGTTAGATTGGGACAAGGCCCCTTCAGTTTCTTTCTTAATAGGAATTAAGGTAGGAAAACATTTCACCCATGGCTACATCCAAACGATTTAAATCAATATGGACGATACCTGCGCCCACGGCCCCCTTCACCACTGTTGTGCCTACCTCCGCTAGAACCACCACTGCTCCTGTTGCCACTTCTCTGCTGTGAAGGTGGGGTATGAGGCTGTGCTCCGGGCTGTTGTCTGGAGAAAAAAGGAATATGAAGGTGAAGTTTAATCTACCATGCAAATAAGCATTTAAATTAGACTAGTACGATTGTCAAGGGGAACAAGTCAGACACATATTGCAGAAAGGTCTGATCAAATCCAAACGAGGAATGGTGGTATGCTGAGAGGAATCGAATAGAACCCGTAAAACCAATTCTACTTCCACTCACATTCCATCGGGTTAGTGTTAGGGGTAGAATTCTACGTGATTAAGTTCCAAAGCTTCACAACCGTGTATACCAAGACCAAAGGAATTGCCAACCGTGACTTCCATTAAGGCAATAGGAAAAGAAATGATATTTCATATAGATAGCAATAAGTGAAACAAAGAATTCATGCTTACAGGACATATCCAATCCTTCCATCAGGCAAAAGCATCGGCATCATCGCCATACCAGCAGGAGTGGGACCCCTGCCATAAATTAGGGGCTGCAAGAAAGATACAAATCTTGATATCAGCTAAACCACGAGGAATATGAAGCAAACTATACGAAGAAATAAACAAAGAATAGGTTGCCATAGCATTCTATGGTGTTTGCTTCAAACCTACCCATCAAAGTACTAGTCAACCCACAATTACCATACAGTAACTAGTGTCCCATGGGAGAGAACATAATTTGTTTGGTAAGAGAAGGATTAATTAACTAAAAAAGAGATCTGAAGATCTACAGGACCATCAAAAAGAGTAAGCTTCCTTGCTGCGTTAGCAGCTCGGTGAGCAGCACTAATTTAATGATTTATGCCCTCCCCTCAAGCCAAAAATCATAAAATACTCTTTGATGAGTCAGCCCAAAAATGCATAATAAAGTTAACACTTATTTCACCTGTGCAAAGCCTGCAGCACCATATCCTGCACCATAAGCCCCACCAACCAGGCCATATCCAACACGAGGTGGATAGCTAGGAAGAAGGGCCGACTTCTGTGAATTTGATCCTGCATCAGACTTCCGATCTGCTTGTGGCTTTGCAAGGGAACACTCCAGAACTTGACCTGTCAATAGAGGTAACCCATCCAACATTATCTACCATATTTTGCTTAATGAGTGAGAAAACAAGAAATCATGTGAAGAAGAAATCACCATCAATTTCATATTTCTCTGTGTTTTTGAGTGCCTTCATGGCACTTGATCTCTCTGCAAAGTGAACAAAACCAAATCTGCTTTTCTCCTGTCCAGATTTTGCTGGTGGCAATACAATTTTTGTGATCTCTCCATGGTGTTTGAAAAGTTCCCTCAGACGCTCCTGAGTTATATTTTTTGGCAAATTCTTCACGTAGACTGCTTTTACCTGTTTAAACCAACTCAATTGTCATGGTTCAACCAGAAAATTTGAATGTAGCTAATTACAGTGAGGAAACTCAACTGATTGATGAATCCTACCCAAGCCTATAAACCAAGGATGTGTGTCCATTTCCTAAATGCCATAGTCATAAATTCTATCTACGATCCAATAAGCAAAATACCTTGATTATCCCTTTATTGTTAATATTATTTTTTGGGGGGGTGGACAAGGAAATAAAAGCTGAACTAAATAGAAGTGAAAAATTAGGATATGTTTTGTTTGGTTAAAATACTACTCCAAAAAACCATACTATTTGGAAAATAAATTTTGAACCAAAATTGATTCTTTTTTGGAACTTAAATTTTCAGCACCAAAGAATCAATTCTTAGAACGAGTTCTAAACCAAAAATTTCAGCAACTTTCATACATCCAAACTGAAAAATGATTCTAAGAATAACAAAGTTCATATGAATTAATTCTCAGAAACCATGTCAAACACAGCTCTAGCTACCTGAGAAGCAGGAGAAGATTCAGCAGTCTTAGGATCAGCCCAGCTCACAGTAGGAGCATTATTGTCTAACTTGAATTTTGGGTTTGACATTTTCTGCCTTGAATATTCAGCACATGCATGGTTATAATACTCAATGAAAGCAAAACCACGGTTGCGGCTGGAATTCTGTGGATCCTGCATGATGGAAAAATGTCAGTCATAAAATGAATAGATCTAGAATCCCCAATATAAAGCGCAGAAGCACTGGTATCAACAATCATATATTACACGTGCACAGGTAAACCAGCAAAGTCATTTAGTGGATGGGTCAAAAGGACACATGAAGCTCAAACACGGTACAATGGATGATGGCCAAAAAATGCCACACATACTCCCAGTCCTCTATTTGGCAGAATATTGGCCAAATGCCATTTCCATGTGTCAAAACAAGAAACAATCAGTGCATAACTTTGGACAATTGGTATCACATGGAAAAGCTCCTATCGAAGGCAGGGATTATGGGATGACAAGGACTGGATACTGCAGAAATGAATATCACCAATCAGAAAGATCACCTATCTGATGGATGGTTTGGATCAGAAAGACATGCTGGAAGGCCAAATCAACTAAACAACAAAAAACTCAAAACAACATAATCCAAGTTGACCGCAAATCAATAATGAAATATAAATGAAGGAAAAGAATTTCCTCCATTGTCCATAATTCAAAAGCAGGGAAGCTACAAACAGCCATAGTTGAGACAAATAAAACGAACACCACCACACTGATGCAGATGTGGATATGAGGCTTTTTTTATTTTCTAGTCATAGGTGTCTTCAGAATAGGGTTTAAGTTTCCTATAAATTTACTGCTACTTCCAAATTATTATGTATGGTAACTTTCAATCTATTTATAGTAATTCTTGTAATTACAATTTTATAAAACACATGATTTACTATTTTAAGGCAAGTAGAAGTTGATTTCTGTCAGTTCCCTAGTCCCAATTGAAGTTTATAAAGGGACACCTAAGTTCGTAAGTTGAGTCTATAAATAGTCATTGTAATTGCAATTAAAGAACAGCTGATTTGAAGAAATAAAGTTTGGTCTAGTGAATTCTGGCTGTCACCAGGAAATTCTCTTTTTTTCCTCTCTCTCACCAATTTCTTAATTCTTATAAGCAATCTGTTTTTCCTCTCTCGCATTCTTTGGTGGACAGCAAACAGTCTACTTATTTTTCCATCCATTTTCTTCATCTTTAATCACCTCAAACCCCTCATTCACCTCAAAAAGCCCACCAGTGGATCTAAATTTAGTAGAATCCTATCCTGCCCAACATCACTCACTCTTTAGCTAAGTTACAAACTTTAAAAATGAGGTGTGCCTCAATATGCAGAGGCACATAATTTGGACCTGAAAACAAAGAGAGGAAATACTGCTAACTCAAAACTACACAAACAAAAAGCATGCCAACCTTAAGCAGTTCCACAGCATTAACCCCAGGTCCAATCTCTGTCACAATCTTCTTCAGATCTTCCTCCACCCAGCTTCTTGGGACATTACCAATAAACAAGCGATGTTTTGCCTGCGAAGATGAACATTTTATCTTTCTCCCCTGCAAAAGTAAGATCGAGTTAGCTGCAAAACCACAGTTATTGGTTGAGTTCTTTTGCTTCCAGAGTTTCAAGGACTGTGGAAAAAAGATTTTGGAGCTGATTTTTGGACTTCTCTGAATTCTGAATAGTAATGCGGAGTTTTGTTTTAATGCAGAAATGTTGTTTTTTGCTTTTTCTGTGGTCTTACATTACTGTAATCTGGTGGAGGTGACATCTTGACACCTAGTTATGATGTAATGCTTTTGCTTTTAGCAATAAAATTTCTTTTTATTTATCTTCAAAAAAAACCACAGCTACAAAAGAATCAAGAACTATGATGGCATCATTGATGGAATCAGAAAGGTTTGATAGTAATATCAACTGGTAAAGCTAAAACAAAATATTTAGAACAAAAATGGACTTTCTATCATGCAAAGTAAAAGTCTAAAAGAATCATTACTCAATGTTGATCCCAGTTATCTGGGGCCTTGGGAGGCATGAACTGGACATTCCTAACTTTTAGCATTTTTTTCCACAGTCACCGCTGTCAGACTCGAATCCACGTTCCCATGCTTGACACAGCCCGAGATTTTAGCAATATAACAATTAATGGTCCCTAAATATTTAACTCTTTTATTACATTTCCAAGTCTAAACTGCAAAGTGCTTATCAAAAAGAGACTAAAGTCTAAAAACCCAACCATCCAAAAAAGAAGAAAATTATATATGGAAAAGAATTGGCAAGTACAGTTTGAGCAACACCTAGAATCTACAGGCAGGGTCACTTTGCTTATGATAGGTGACTTTGATTCTAACTCTAGGACTAAAAGTAATCATGTAACTGTAGATTGATAAATTTGTCCTATTAGGGTCTGTTTTTCTTTCTAGTTAATCCCTCTCCATGTAGTATATACTTACCTAGCATTGCTTTTAATAAAATTCTTCTATTTGTTACTTACAAAATTTTATTTATTTATTTATCTATCTTAGTATCTTTTGGTGGTGATGGGTGGGTGTGTGGAGAATGGAATGAAAATGTAACATGGACCATCAATCTACCATTTAATTTGTATGAAAATCAATGTAAAATTGCAAGAACAAAAAGTGAATTCATTACCTTAAGCTCAGTATTGTTAAGTTCCTCAATGGCTTTAGAAGCTAATTCTTTGGTCCTAAATGTCACAAAAGCATAACCTTTGTTTTCATTTGACTCTTTTCCCTTCATTATCCTGACCTGTCATGCCAAATATAAGTGTCATAAATCATTGTCAAGAAAACATGAACAAAGCATAACAAAAAGCCATCTCACCTCAGTGACTTCTCCAACAGCCTCACAGAAACTCTGTAAATCCTCTTCAGAAACATCATGAGTTATGCCACCAATATAAACTTCAGAACCATGGGGGGGAAGAGCAAGAAGTTCAGCATGTTTCTTACTCTCATCCTCATCGATTTCCTTGGCAGATGGCATCTCCTCATCACCACTGGGGCTTGCCTGTGCATCAGCTCCATTAGCAACTGCATCCTCCTCTTCCTCTTCCTCTACCTCTTCTTCTACTTCTTCCTCTTCCTCTACCTCCTCCTCTTCTTCTACCTCCTCCACTTCCTCTTCCTCCTCTACTTCTTCATACTCAACCTCTTCTTCCATTGCCTCCTCAGCATCATTGTCTCCATCAAGGTCTACTTGCTCTTCAGGTTCAACTGGTTTTTCAGGCTCAACTGATTTCTCGGGTTCAACTGACTTTCGTGTTGCTGCAGCATTCGACCTCGCCCTCGGCATCTTATGTATCTAATCAAACAAGCTTGCAAGGCAGCTGTGGAAGAAGCACAGGAGCCAGAAGCATTTGCAAGGGGGAGTATACAAATATGGACAGGTGGAAACAAAATGAAAGGCCAAAAGGAGTTGCAGAGTAAGAATCTCAATTGAAAAATTGCCATGAGATATGGCTCCAAGGAGTTTCAATGTGAAAAAGGATTGAAAATAGTAGTAGCAGTTCTAAAAGAACAGGCAAGAGAGAAGACCAAATGATAATCAAGAGGATGATGATGCTCAACTGGTGCAAAACAAAACTGAAGAAATGAACTTCTTGAAAAAAAATAGATATCAAGCTGCAGCCCAACAAATACTGCCCAGTTTTAAGTGTTTAAACATCTAAATTCTGGCACAATTCATTTAGAAAGGGGGCAAAGGAAAAAGAAAAAGAAGCAGTGAATAAGAGATATGAATTTGATAGAAAAATGATAACATAATGAAGTCAAATAATCCAAACACTTGAAAATGATCCAAGCACAAATTAAGAAATGAAGTATTCCAAGAGGAAATTTGGAATAATTCATACATAACACAGACAAGACACTAAAAAGAAAGATGGAAACAAGGTTATCAAGAAAATATGCTCATCAATCTTAATACAAGTCCTGTATGAACTGCTTTAGTAGTTTCTGATCATTAAACAATAGTAGATACATCACATAGACAATTAGAGATTTCCAATTTGGGTCAAATATAAGCAGTAAATTATTCATTATAATGAATGCTAAATAACCCTAGAACCAACATATATTAGATAAGGAACTAACCAACACTAACCAGTGCACTAAAGCTAAACCATATGGAAACATTCTCCATAATCTGTGTGGAGCAGGGTCAGGGAAAGAACACATAATTCTCAAACATTAAGGCAAGGATTCAGAATAGTGTGCCTTAAAAGAATTTGTATCTGAAATTGACTACATCATGGAGGAAATGCAAAACTATCCAAGAGGTTCTAATGTAGCCAAACCCCATATAGATGGGACAAGGATTAGATGATGGTGATGATGAGGTTCCAATACGTGCATCTAATCCTTGGAAGTGCAAACTCAATTGCCAGAAACATGAACCTCGGATCATACCAACAAAAAAGTGTACTCCGGATAGCTAGGAACAGCATTGGGTAAGGGCCCTTTTTATATAGTCACTATGCACAACTCCATTGTCAGACTTGGAGGCAACCAAAATAAAGAAAGTGCATGTTCACCCTCTTTTCTATTGAGGATGTGCTTGTTCAAGTATCAAAACATATCCAACCTTAAAAAACATATCCAAGCCCTAAACATTTTTCAACTCAAGAAACAATCATCCTATTGATGGAATCCTGACCCTAAATTAATTCAATAACACTTTATTTTTTTAAAGCTTCAATGCATTCATAAATTCCTTTTCAGATCCTTGCATTTGAATATGAAAACCAAGAACTTGAATTGGTTGGCCCTTGAGTAAAAATTTTCGACACCTGCACAACTTTCACATAGTAATTATCAGTGCATATATAATACATGCCCTTTGGTCCCTAGACGCGGGATTGATGTTCTATTCCCCCCAGGCCCCACCAAGTGCCCGTTTGGGAGGGCATAAGTATGATCTTTTAGCTATACGAGGCAGGACCCACTCAGGAAGCCTATAAAGCAATGATTTCTTAAAAAAATCCGGAGAGCCAACTTTTGGTCATCGTACAGCCATTTGCACAATTGCACTGCTCTCTATATAAGCCTCTTCCAGTAGCTTCTTCAATGCAGCTGAGCAGAAGTTAAGCACTTCCAAACGGGCCCTAAATTCCAGCTTCTAAGGAACTATATATCAAAGGAAAGTTTTCTCGTATCTTTTAACTTATAAATGGAAATTAAAATAGTTACACATTATAGTTTGTCTGGGGCCTTTCTCCAGCAACAATCTACCCACCCACCACCCATCTCTCCCGTACCGACGTAACATTGTAACTGCAACCTTCCCAATTTTTTTTGATAAATAACCTTCGCGACTTCTTCACTTAGATGTCGAGATATCACCTCATCATAACAGCCAAAGCCTAATTTCTTCCGACAACCAAGAAACTAAGGACCATACACTGATAGGGCTACTATGAACGACGATTCAAATTATGCCTCCGTTATCGAGATGAACCATAAACCATGGTAATCCCGTCTATTCGTTTAAAGAGCAAAATTAGTTCATACATGCAAACACCAAGTCCAACATGAGTGGTAGTGGACTTCAAATTTGCCCTAAACTTCAGAAAGGCAGCTGCTAGAAGAAAAGTATTAACAAAAACATCACATTCTGAAATGGAACCATGTTTACATAACGAAGAAGCTCGAACAATTAAAATATAAGAACAACAAGGGAAAGCTATAGCAACAACCGCAGAGCATAGATCTACAAAACCCCTCGAATAGAAAGGAATAGACAAGAAACAACAGAAGAAACTGACAGAAATGGAGAGAGAGAGAGAGAGCATAAATTACCAGAGACGTTCTCTATGTGAAGACTTCGTTTCGTTTCAGGAGCCAAAACCACAGAATAAAGTTTCGTGCGGACCCTTTCTGCGGTAATAAAAGAAACCCTAGACCAGTGTTAGGGTTTCCGATGCGCAGCTCTCCAATTGGGTGTAACATAGAATATTACGTTGCTACCCATAAATAATCCTATTGGTTCGGGTGGCATATGAGGGTACTTATGTCAATTAAAACATATTGAGTGCCATATAGCGTGATGTCGACCTCCCCGTACCCGTACCGTGGTTGGATTGGACCAAAACCAAACCATACATTTTTACTGTCCTTCCGGGTATGGATGTTAACGAGTCAGATTTGGCACCAGCTACCCCGATCCAAACCCATTTAAGGGTGACCCGGTTCATCCAACTCGAATATGATCGGCTCGGTGCAGGTTCACTACTTAACCCGATCAAGTAACATTTGTTAACATTATTCAGTTAAAACCGAAAAATTTGGTTCAGTTTTTTGGTTTGTGATGAAGGAGAATTCGGCCCGACCTCGTAATAGGGAGACATGTGGACATGACTCGACAAACAAATCGGCACATGGATATGACTCAACACAGGTGACAACTCAGCAAGTATCAGCTCACTACAGAGCAAGCTCGAGTACACTAGCGTCCCGAGCCGAAGTTACTTCGGGCTAAGATCATCTCAGTTCGCGAACTAAACAATAGCACCAAGTTCATGCCAACTCGAACCCAAGCAAATGGACAACCTCGAAGATGACCTGCCTCGGGCAAAATCACCTCGGCCTACATCGGCAGCTCGTCGCAGGTAGCTCGCCACCAGGCAGCTCGCCATCAGTTAGCTCGCTACAAGGCAGCTCATTATCAGGTAGCCCAATGTCTCGCGAAAAGCTCCCTGCCTGGCAAAACTATACCTGCCAACCCTGAGGACTGCACTCATGTCCCCCGCCTAGCGGCACCGTGCCTACCAACCCTGAGGACTACGCTCATGACCCTCCCCTAGCAGCGCCGTGTCGAGTGAACCACCCCGGGCTCCTTAACTCTCTTCACGCAGGTCTTTCCCGCCCGTCGCCAACTAGGAGCAAAGTCACTTCCACCTAGGAGTGGCCGGATTGCGCATCATCAATTGGCGTCGGCTGTGGGAATCGCTTCCAAAAGCCTTCTCTATCAATCATCCATCGGCATTAATGGCATCTTCTAGCAACACCGGGTAGATCAACGAAATGAACACCTCTGGGGGCAACTTCAGGCCCCCACCGTGCGTATCGGCCAGTTTATCGTGCCTCTTAGAACCTTTGGGGTCCCCAAACTGAACCTACCCTAGGTCGTCAAGAAGGTGAACGCCCCACTCCCTCCTGCGGTGAACATCGTCTTCACTTAACCCTCTGTGGTTCCTCCCGCGGTGGGGCAAAACCAGCTGAGTGACCTAGCATAGTGCGTACGGGCCATTCATGCCCAAATGCATCAAGTCCAACAGCTTCAGCACTACCAGCAACAAGTCCTGCATCATTTCAACCAACAGCAGTTCCCAACGTTGTAGCAAAACCGACAGCCAACTCTGCCGCGGTGCCCAATAACGCCACAGAACTAGCAGCCACTCAACCGCCGCCGGAGTAGCCGCCCTCCCGCCGAGGAGAGACCTCCCAAGCCTCACCCCGTAGCAGGAGAGAGCAAGTAGCTCCCACCACCTTGCGGCAACAAGGCAGATCAGAAGACACTCGCCCCACCAAAGTCGATCCGCCCCAGCGCGCGCAACCAAAAACCTTACTTATGAGCAACTGGTTTGAAGCCTTGGCCGCGAGCTCTGAGCGAGACCCTTCAGCTCGCGGAAGCCAATATCAGCCCGATTCCCACCAAGCCGGGACCCGGCCTGACAATACCAAAGCAAGCAGCACCAATACAGACCCTGCCAAGAAGCAGCGAAGATGGCGTCCCAAGGTGTGCCGTGCAATAATTCCTGAACAGCTCACGGAGCCCAGCCGACTCGAGCAACCCAAAGGTAGGGCGGGAGCAAGCTCGGAAGTTGCAAAGGACGCCCCTCTCCTCTCGGTGCCATCTCCCCTCTCCTCCGATCTCCTAGCAGCTCCCATGCTGAAGGACTTCAAGGTACCCCCTCTAGACAAATATGACGGGTCGTTTGACCCAAATGACCATGTGGACTCCTTCTAGTCCCAGAGGTACCTCGCTGGGGCTAGTGAAGCCTGCATGTGTGTTGCCTTCTCCACGACTTTCAGGAGGGTGGCGTGCACATGATATAGGAACCTCCCGTCCGGAGCAATCAAAAGTTGGGCATAGTTCGCACAAATGTTCACCTCGCACTTCATTACCAGCAAGAAGTGTTCGAGGTCGCAGGAAAGTCTCCATAGCATAGTCCAGAAAGAAGGAGAGTCCATCTGGAGCTACATCAAGCGCTTCAATGGCACCTGCCTCTTGATCCCGAACCTAGACCCCGCTATGAGACTCGCCGCAGCAAAGAGAGGAGTCACTCACAGGGAGTTCAAGTGGCATGTGGTGGTGAACAAGCCCAAGGACATCACCGCATTCCTCAAGCTGGTTGACCAATTCATGGAGACTGAAGAGGAAATGAATCAAAAAGTCAAAGCTCCAGCAGAGAAGAGGAGGAGAGACGACGACAGGATGCACCACAGAAGCGGCAAGAGGAAGAAAAGCAAGTCCCCGACCAGGGGAGAAAACAAGTCAAGTTGGCACTCCCGAACTCCTCCAGTTGAAAGGACGAGTTACACCCCCCTCCACGCGAAGTGAAGGGAAATTCTTATGACGATTAAAGATGCCCCGTTTGTAAAGTGGCCACCCCGGATGAAGGGGGACCCCGCCACTAGAAATAAGAATGTATATTGTCACTTCCATAGGGACCACGGTCACAGTACCGAGAACTGTAAGAGCCTCCGCGACGAGATTGAAGAGCTCATCCGCCGCGGATACTTGAAAAAAATTGTACAAAAAAGTAATAAAAATCAGACAGATCGGCAAGGGGAGTAGAGGAGAGATGCTCCCGAGTCCAATAACAGACAGGGCGAGTAGAGACAACCGCCCGAGGAAATGCCAGTTCGCGGAGTGATCAACACAATTACTAGTGGGTCCATCGTCGCGGGCTGCACCTCAGCAGTAGGAAAGACCTCGGTTCGCGAACTAGAACAAGAAAAATATAACCCTCTGAAGCGACTGCGGCCCGCAGACCCTATATCCTTCACCGAGGACGATGTGTGAGGAGTCCAGTATCCCCACGATGATGCTCTGGTCATAAGAATGAAGACCAACGACTTTGAAGTCAAACGCATCTTGGTGGATTTGGGAAGTTCAGCCAACATCCTGTTCAGGAGCACCTTCAGCAAGCTACAGCTCCGGGAAAGCGACCTCCAGCCCGTGAGTACCCCTCTAGTGGGCTTCAGTGGAGAAGAAGTCAGGCCCCTTGGTCGAGTCTCATTGCCTGTAGAGGTTGGAATGTGGCCCAACATCGCGAGGTTTGAGCATGCCTTCCTGGTGGTTGCGATGCCCTCCCGTACAATTCCATTATAGGATGGCCACCCACGCGCTTCGTGCGGTGGTATCTACCTGCTACCTGGCAATGAAGTTCCACACGGACTTTGGGATAGGGGTAGCTCGGGGAGACTAGCTCGAGTCCCATAAGTGTTACGTTGCAGCCCTCAAGGGGAAAGCCAAGTTGGCGGAAAGCGTTGAGCTCGAACGGCCTGTAGAGTATCCAGAGGAGTGACCTACATCGACTGAGGGAACGGTCCTCATCTCGACTTTGAAAGAAGATTCGGCCAGGACTCTCCAAATCGGGGCAGCAGTCGGAGAACCTCTTCGAACCCAACAGGTAAGTTTCCTACTCAAAAATTTAGATATATTTGTATGGTCCGTGGTAGAAATGCCCGACATAGACTCAAAAATAATAACTCACAGGCTAAACATTGATCCCATAGTTAGGCCCATTAAACAAAAGAAACGCAACCTCACCCCAGAACGCTGGAGGATAGTTGACGAGGAGGTCGGGAAACTTCTAGCAGTCGATTTCATCAGGGAGGTCCATTACTCGAGCTGGGTAGCTAACCCCGTTCTGGTAAAGAGGGCAACGGTAAATGGTGCATGTGCGTCGACTATACTGACCTGAATCGAGCTTGCCCAAAGGATTGTTTTCCGCTCCCCAAGATCGACCGTCTAGTGGATGCGACCTCAGGGCACGAGTTGCTGAGTTTTCTAGATGCGTACACAGGCTACAATCAAATCAAGATGGACCCCGTTGATGAAGAAAAAACGGTTTTTATTACCGAACTACGCCTATATTGTTATAAGGTCATGCCCTTTGGACTAGAAAATGTCGGGGCAACCTACCAAAGACTTGTGAATCGAATTTTTGAGCCATTGATCGGCAACAAGGTTGAATGCTATGTAGACGACATAGTCGTCAAAACCCAACTTTTAAACTGTTTAAAAAGTGACTTACAATGTGTTTTCAAAATCTTGCACAAGTATAGTATGAAATTGAACCCTAACAAATATGTCTTGGTGTCACCTCGGGAAAATTTCTGGGTTACATAGTTAGCCGACGTGGCATCGAAGCAAACCCTGAGAAAATAAAGGTTATACTGGATATGAAGCCCCCTCGCAAGTTTAAGGAGGTTCAGAGGTTGAATGGCTGTATGGCTGCCCTAAGCCGCTTCATGTCAAAGTCAGTAGATTTTTGCCTACCCTTTTTCAAGGCAATTTAAAAAAGCAAAGACTTTGAGTGGACTAAAGAATGCCAGTTCGCCTTCGACGAGCTGAAGAAATGCCTAACTAGCATCCCGGTTTTGACTCGACCCGAGGAGGGTGATGTTTTAAAGTTGTACCTCTCCGCGAGTGATGAGGTGGTCAACTCAGTACTAATAAGGGAAGTAGATCAGGTCCAACAATCTATCTACTATGTGAGCAAAGTTTTGCAGGGTGTCGAAATCAGATACCCAGAGATCGAGAAGGTGGCATATGCGCTGGTAACAATAGCCCAGAAGCTTAGACCATACTTTCAAGCCCACATAGTCGTCGTTCTTACCAACCAACCCCTGAGGCACGTCCTACTCAAGCCTGAGGTATCTGGAAGACTGACGAAG